GAACTCAGGTCTTTATGACTCTCTGGGCTTAGCCTCCTCATCCATAAAATAAGGACATTGTATTATTATATTACCTCTATGATGCCTTTCAGCTCCAAATGTATGATCAAATCAATAAATCAGTCAATTACCCCTCTAATATGCAATCATATTACAATAGTAGAAATCAATCAACATTTATTAAGGACCCACTACGTATGTACCAGGCACTGTGCTAAGTACTAGAGACACAATAAGAGACAAAATACAGTCCTAACCTCGAGGAACTTACAATCTAATGGGAGAGACAATAAACAACTATATTAAAACAAGCTAGCTATAGGATAAATAAAAAATAATTAACAAAGGGAAGGCACTAAAATTAAGAGAGCCGGGGTCATGATGTATAATCTTTGTAATATATTGTAATTTTTAAGCTAGTATTTTATTTAGGATTTTTGCATCCATAATGAAATACTTTCATCCATGAATGAAATTGGTTTATAATTTTCTTTCTCTGTTTTTATTCTTCCTGGCTTATCAGTATCATATTTGTTTCATAAAAGGAGTTTGGTAGGATCCCTTCTTTGCCTATTATTCCAAATAATTTATTTAATATTGGAATTTGTTGATCTTTAAATGTTTCATAGAATTCACATGTAAATCCATCTGATCCTGATGCTTTTTTTCTTAGGAAGCTCATTTATGGCCTATTCAATTTCTTTTTCTAAAGTAGGTCTATTTAGACATTCGATTTCCTCTTCTGCTAATCTAGGCAATTTATATTTTTGTAAATATTCTTCCATTTAACTTAAATTGTTAAATTTATTGGCACATAATTGGGGAAAGTAACTCCTTGTAACTGCTTTAATTTAATCGTTGTTAGTGGTATATTCATTCTTTTTTCTTTTTAATACTAGTGATCTGGTTTTCTCTCTTTTTTAAAAATAAATTAACCAATAGTTTATTTTATTGTTTTTTTCCCATAAAACTAACTCCTAGTTTTCTTTATTAACTCAATGGTTTTTTTTTACACTTAATTTTATGAATCTCACTTTTAATTTTTAGGATTTCCAATTTAGTGTTTAATTGGAGATTTTTAGTTTTTTAAATTGCATACCCAATTCATTGGTCTGCTCTTTCTCTTTTTTATTGATGTAAGGATTTAGAAATACAAATTTTCCTCTAATCACTGCTTTTGCCGTATCCCGTAGGTTTTGATATGTTGTCTCATTGTCATTTTCTTCAATGAAATTATTGACTGCTTCTATGATTTGTTATTTAACTCACTTATTCTTTAAGATTATGTTGTTTAATCTCCAATTAGTTTTTAACCTATGTTTCTGTGGTCTCTAATTAAATATAACTTTTATTGCATTTTGATTTGAAAAGGATATTTAATATTTGGTTTTTTTCCTTTTAACTAATTTTTATGCCCTAACACATGGTCAATCTTTGTAAATGTACCATGAACTGCTGAGAAAGGTGTATTCCTTTCTATTTCCATTCAATTCTCTCTAGATATTTATCATATCTAGTTTATCTAAATTTCTATTCACTTCTCTGACTTCTTATTTATTTATTATTTTTGGTGAAATTGATCTAGTTCTGAGAGGGGAAGTCCCCTCTATTATTAAAGTCCTCCACTAAACAGTACTACTATCTATTTCCACCTGTAATTCATTTAACTTAATTCTTTTAAAAAATTCAGATGCTGTAGTATTTGGTGCATATAGATTTAGTATTGATATTTCTTTATTGTCTATGGTACCTTTTATCAAAATGTAGTTACCCTGTTTAACTCTTTTAATTAAGTCTATTTTAGTTTTAACTTAGTCTGAGATCATGATTGCTACCCTTGCTTTTTTTTTTTTTGCTTGCATCTGCTGAAGCATAATAAATTCTACTTAAACCCTTTGTTTTAACTGTATCTTCCCTTTAAATGTTTCCTGTAAACAACATATTGTCAGATTCTGATTTTGAATCCATCCTGTTTTATGGGTGAGTTCATCCCATCTACATTCAAAGTTCTAATTATTATTTGTGTATTTCCCTCCATCTTATTTTAACTCAGTATTGTCCTTCTCAGCTTCTCTTTTTACCCAATCCCAGTTAGTTTATCTTTTCTCCTTATCCACCTATTCCTTATTCTACTCAACCCTCTAAGAGTCCCTCCTTCATCTTCTTCCCCACTCTCCTAAATCTTAATCTACACACCCTTCTAAAAGCCCCTCCCTTATCTTCTCCCCCACCCTCCTAAATCTTAATATATATATAGCCTTCTAAAAGTCCCTACCCAACCCTGTCCCCCTAATTCTCTCGCCTGGCTACAAGTCCAGAAGACTTCTACATCCCTCCAGACATACACGTTGTTTCTTCTTCAACCCAGGTCCAATAAGAGTAACATTCCAACCTTACCAGCCCTCCACCCCTACCTGCTTCCTCTGTATCAGCTCTTCCTTT